GGCACTTTTCTTCTTTAGTCTAACGTTTGAACTTTTTTTTTTTTTTTTTTTTTTTAAATGTGTTGACAAATTCGCCTCTAGGCTGAAAGAGGAGCTTTAGGAGATTTTAGTGTTCCCCTTCCCTCCCACATCCCCAGCAATTCCCAAAGCCATCCCAAATGAACATACAGTCTAAGTAGGATTGATGTGTTTGTTAGGAAAGTCAATTCAAGGTCTCTGAAAATCATAAGAAAACAACCTCTAAGCCCTTCTTATGTAGAAAGCCAGTGACTGTTTTTTTTTGTTGTTGTTGTCATTGACAACCAGAAGAAAACAATAATATACTGAAACATGACAAATAAAACCAATTTACAAATCCAAGTACTGCCTGTCAGGTAGTTTACATAAATCTCTTTTAAGCCTTGACCACAGTTTTAAAAGTATATAGTATCTTTGTTTGATGGATAAGCAGAATCCTAAGAGGATTTAAGTTGCCCCAGGCCATACCATTAAGTGGCAAAAGATTCTGGAATTCAAACTAAGGTTTTAGGCCCCCACCACCCTCACACACACACACATACACATACACACCACTTCTATTATTAAGGATTTGAAAAATGCAAGGTAGGTGATTTAATGAACCCTTGCCTTTAGAGAGAGAAAAGTTATTTGACGAAGATGTCTTTGTTAGAAAACTTTTGCAATTACACTTTGGCCTGGACTTTATATCAGTAGTGCATTCTTTGGTTAACTTAAATGATAGCAAAATTCTCCTTTTCTCTACTTCCAGGATAAGAAAATATTTTAAGCAGGTCTGGGAGGCATAAAAATAGTTGTTATCAAGTGATGTAAGTAAAAGTGATGGAGTGGGAAACTCAAAAACTCTGTCTCTCTGAAAAAGCAATGAATAAACTGACAAAACCTAAACACCTTTTTTCGAAGCTGAACAACCACTGGAATGTGTAATGAAGAAAAAGCTGAGTTTGGTGAGAACTCTCTGGTCATCTTCCTTACTTCAGGTTGATGATAGCCTTGAAGACAGCAGCACACATTCCTGGTAGGTTGCTTGCACCAGAGGGAACAATACAGACCTTATTTTCAAGAAATTCCAGTTGTGTGTTTTGACCTATCTGGTCATTCAGTGTATAGGCTTCCCTTTGTTTCAACTACCTCAGAGCTTTCCCAGGGCTGAGAGGTATCCTAGGAAGTGTTTGTCAAAAGCATTTACAGGCAAATATTAGCTATTGTCATGGGGGAAAGGGGTAACTTTGGGACAGGCAATAACCAAACCAAAAATCCCGGGAAGGAAGAG